TAGTTAAAAGTAAAAAATTTTTCAGTAGGCTGAATTTGAATTTGTTGTTCTTCTGCAATTACTTTTAAGCATGTGTGACACCCCTTGTCTATTTCTGATTGAATCAGAGGCCTTATGCGAACAGCAACTTTTACTAAATCATCGCTCATCTGAAAAAATTGATTACTTTGTAAGCTTCAAATTAAAAGATAGAAAATCATTACAAAATATATAAAGTAAAAATAACTTATTTAATTAAAACTACTCTATTGTAAAATAATGTAATATTAAAATTAATTTAAATTAGCTTTATATTACAGAAGATTAGCGTTATAATACGTGAAAATTCAAAATGTATTTTTCATAAAATAGTTATTTATCAAATTTAAAAACATGACAATTTAAAAAATCATTATTTAATTGAAAATGAATACATTTTCTTAAATATTAATGTTCTCATATTATATATATATATTTATACATATGTATATATATATATATATATATATATATATATATATATATATATGCATACAAACTATTATTTTATTATTAATATACATTTTATATACATATGCACAAAGGTATGTATATAAATATTACCTTGAATAATTTAGGTAAACTTTTCCAAAGTTCCAATACCAAAACTGAAATATAATAAATACTCTTAAAATTAGAAATGCAACGAACAATGACACTACATTTTATAAAAATAGTCTCCGTAATATTTATTCAGATATTTTCCCTCCAAATGTGCATGGATAAATATTTATAACTTATTATTTCTAAACACCATACAATTTATTACATGCATATATTTGGGGATATAAAATACGTATATTTACTATCCGTGTTGGGACACTCGACGTTCAACGGTATTTTTGAATTGAAAATCGCTTGATAATTTCCAGACTAGAGGGCGTACTCGGGTATGATATGGAAAATTCTTTATATATTTTATAAATAGTGTGTTTTTAAATTCTTCGACTTAAGGGTTTGTAAATTATGTAGTAATAACATTTATAAAAAAAAGTGTCTTATTTTTCAATTAAAAAAAAATGTATAATTACAAGTTTTTTCTGTAGAGAGAAATTTTTTGATATTGTTGTTATTATTTTTCATCGTTTTTTAAGAACTTTATTATTAGACTAATGCAAAATAAATAAAATTGTTTTCTATGCAATAATTATATGCAGTATTTACAAGTTGTTAATTGAATGTTGATGGAATATCTCAAGGTAACATACATTACGCGCTTGCGCAAGTAATTTATTCCCAAATTGTATATAGAATATAAAATTTATAGATGCGTTGGTTAAAAAATTCAGTGGCTCAATTCTAATAAATGTTCAGCAGAAATATACATATTTTCATAGATTGTGTTTATGTGGAAATTTCCAAATTGGCCGTGTAATCAAAGAAAAAAATGGCATTTCTATTTTCTTCTTCTACGAATAATAACATTTTTTGTTCTTTAACTAATATGAATTTTTGTAAGATGCAAATGATTTAAATGAATTAAAATTGAGGTTCTTATTAATTTTTTTTGCAATACCCACATTATTTTATTGTTTTTATCAATTTTTTTTTTATCCACTTTAACATAATTTTAGCTATTTAAAATATTTAATAGTTACGAATTTTTATAGCTAGAGTTTCAAAATTTATAATTTTTTCTAATTGATTAAATTTCAATCGAATAATTATCGTCATTTAATCTTAAATTATTCGAATTTAAGTATGAATCTTGGATCATTTTCATAAATATAACACACCCACACACGTACGGGCAATATCCGCAAGAATCGCATGAACAGGTTATAGGCCGTTCATATTGAGTATAGAGACTCAATAATTTGATAATAATTAAAACAATAATTTGATACTAATATTAAATTGTCATGTTGAATAGGCAACATCATACCTGTATTATCAATCATTAATATAAATAGTTTAGAACGTAACATTCGTTTGTTTTATGCAAATTATAATTATTAAAACAAACTAAAAGATTGGATTTTTTTGTTTTGCATATTGATAAAACAATACATTGAAATGCTTGGTATACTGAATTCGCAGTCTTACAAATTGAAAATGATCGCAAACTTTATAAATTTTATTTATTATTAAAAATTTGTAGCATATATTATTTAAAAGCGTAGGTATACGTATAACAAAATTGTAGAATATGTAAAAACTTTTAATTAACAAACTTCTAACAAATTAACGTGTGTTATTCATTAAAAATAATAATTTATTAATTTGACACTTAATTGGTCAACGTAATTTTTTTTAGTTATGGTCTCGTTATTCGTCCAATGATTTTCTGATTTTTATCATATTTTTTTATGAAAAATTTAAACTATTTAAGTAGAGAAATAAACGAGTTTCTACTTTTTCGAATTGGATAAATAATTTGAGTTTAAATAAGTTTAATAATTAATTTATGCATGCGATGATTATAGAAGTTTTTGAATGTAATGAACAAATTTATCAGTTTTTAAGAACCTTTTCAACGATTGAATCTGTTGTATGTGAATTGAACAAAAAAACATTTAGTTTCATGTAAATAGAAGGTTCCTTTCGATGTACATTTAAAAATTTTTATTGTCAAAGCGAGGGAAATTTTGACGATCAATTAGTTCAATTTTTCATATTTGAAGGTATTTGAATATATTGCATTTTCAATTTATTTTATGTAGACAGACTAAACCATCATGTACGAATTGATAAATACACCGACATCTTGGGTATACCATTTTTTTTTCTTTGCTATTTAACAAATCCTTCATATATATTGAGATTTTGTTTGATAGACGTTCATCTTCAATAGCACTATTGTTTTATATTTATATTTTTATTTTATGGTATAATGTAGTTTCAGTTCGGTGCTTTTGGCCTTACATTAGTTAATGGCGTTATACGTAAGTTCAATCGTATACAAATCATTGACATTCGAAATAAATAAAATTATGAGCACTTTTGAGAATCGAGAGCTATAAACTTTTTTTATCAACTCGATTTAATTTTTAGATTAATAATTTTCAAGGATAATTTATTTGCACAAGCACATAATGTATTCAACCTCTCGGCATTTCATCGTCATTCAATTCCGCATCAACATTACGAATAATTGTAATAATTTTAACTCGGTTCGCGAAGTGACGACGATTCATTATTTATTTCGACTGGTGAACGAATTTTTCCACAGTCTTTAAATGAAGGACATCGATAACAATTTTGGAAAGCATGTGGACGCCGGAAATCTGTAACTCCGTGGCTTTGCATTCAATTTTTTCTCCCTCCGCTTAATTTATAATGGTCGACTTCCAAACTGACAAAACAATAGAATTAAGCAGCATCTGCTACATTAAGGTCCATTTACTCGCTTAATGTTATTATGATGAAACGCATAAGGTCGAGAGTCGCGGACGGTCTCAGGTTCCTAAAAGCCATCCAAAATTGACATTGGGAAGTTCGCGTTTTTGCCACGGATGTCACTGTTCTCCCAAGCTCCTTCCAAGAGCGTGTAGAAATGGGTTAACGTGTATCGCTGTTTTAATGTATTTTGGAAACTGAAAGTTTTCAAGAAAAATTCGTGCTTCCGCGCCGATTTCGCGAGGACGATATTTTCATCTTGGGATTAGCTGTTATTGTCGGTTTATTAAGACGGGAATTGAATGTTCGGCCGACATTAAATTCGAAGATAAATGTTGCCGAACGCATCAAACGCTGTGATTCTTTTTGTATTTGATAACGAGCTTTTAAGTATAACATAAGTGTTAGGATTTATTGTTAGTATTCAGGTTTATTTTTATTTTATTTTTAAAGAAATCGTTAAAATGTCTGTCACCTACGCTCAACGAGGTAGACCACCTCCTACGCCAGCCCAAATCCAAAAAGTATGTGTTACTGTTCGATAGTTTGTTTTTTAACCTAGATTTTTTACTTATGACTTTTATTTATTTCTAGATGTTGGATGAAAACAGTCATCTTATTCAAACGATACAAGAATTTCAAAGTAAAGGAAAATCTCAAGAGTGCATGCAGTTAGTTGAAAGAGTTTTTTTTTTTAATAAACTTTTTATTAAAGTGTTGTAATAGACCATTTTTTATTTATATCTTATTGATAACATTTTTTAGGTATCAGCAAATACTGCATAGAAATTTAGTTTATTTAGCATCTATTGCGGATGCCAATCAAAACATTCAAGCGCTACTTCCTGTAAATATATTCATTATAATATTTTTGGTCAAGGTCAATTTAATGGTTTGATTAATTTATTTTAAATTATTTTAGGCACCTCAAGGTATATCTAATGGACCACAACACAATATGATGGCACTTCAAGGCCCACCAAATGTTTCTGCTTCAGCTGGCCCTGGAGGAGAAATTCCTCCCAATACCCAACAAACATTACCAATGTCTGGTTTTAATCAGGGACAGCCCATGCCGCAAGCAGGCTACCGAGGACCTGTTATGCCTGGTCAAGGACCAGCTATGAATCGTAAATTTGATACTTAGCTTGCTATTTATTTTAGATTGTAATAGTTCTTATATTTATTAAAATGTTCTTTAGGACCACCAGCTGGCCCTGGACCTCAACAATATAGAGGCAATCAACAAGGATATCCACCGCAACAGCCACCTCAACAAGGTTATCATCCACCTTACAGTAATCAAGGACCAACAGGAAATTATCAAGGACCACAAGGGAATAATTACGTGCCTGGTCAACCAAATCAATATGGACCACCAAATGCACCTCAACAACAGGGCTATTCTGCATCCAATCAACCAAACTATGGACCTCCTCCGACTACCGTAAATAACTACGGACCTCAACCGGGTGGTTATCCACCTCCCACTACGAATCAACCTCCTACGGGATATGGGCCTCCGCCTCCAAATCAGCAAGGGTATCCACCTTCTAATGCTTCTCAGCAAAACTTTCCATCAACAGGACAGCAACAGCAGCCTGGCCAATATGGAAGTCCAAGTCCACAACCAAACTATCAGCAACCCCCTGCGCAAGCTCCACCACCACAAAATGCATATAATCCAAATCCTCAATCTGGAAACTATCCTCCACCATCGTCGCAAGGATACTCGAATAATGTTCCGCCTCAGCAACAATATCCACCCCCACCTACGTCGAATGCTCAACCACCTCAACCTGCACCTCAGGCTCCCCAATCGGGTCCGCCACAACCTAATTACGGTAGTCAACCAAGTCCAGGTCCTGGTAGCGGACCAACCCAGTATGGACCAACATCTACCGCACCTCCATTTAGCGGTGCAGCAGCGAGCGGTGCCAATACTTATGCTCAAAGTAGTCAGCCCACGTGCACACCATCTGCTTCTACTCAAACTTGTACCCCAAATAATCCACCTCCACCAACGTCTCAACAAGGGAATTACCCTCAGCCAACGCCACCACCAAATTGGGGTACTCCCGTCCAGTCCTCGCATCAACCACCACATCCACCGCCTCATCATCCACCTCATCCACCTCCACATCAGCCACCTCATCAGTCTTCTCATCCATCCCATCAACAACCTTCACCACATCCATCGCATCAGCAACCATCTCCGCATCCACCGCATCAACAACATCAGCCACCTCCACCTCATCAATCTCCTCATCCATCTCCGCACCAATCCCCGCAGCAGGCCCCTCCTTCTCAAACTCCACCACAACCACAACAGCAACAACAGTCACCTAGTCCTGCACCAACAAGCTTTCAACCTTCCGCTGGGCCACCGCAAGGACCCGGAGGGCCACCGCAACCTCAGCCTCCAAATGCCTATGGCCCACCACCCCAATCCCATCCCGCAACTACGCAAACCTATGTTCCCCCGGCACCTGGTGGTCAACCACAAGTTTATCCACCCCATCCTCCTCAACCAAGTCAGCATTACGGTCATCCACAGTATCCTCCACAGAATTATCCGCCACCATCCGCTGGTCAAGGATATGGTCAATATCCACCACGACCACCGGCTGGTCACATGCCTCCACCTCCAGGCCCCCAAGGTCCTCCTCCTAATCAATATGCTGGCTATGGTTACCAGCCACCTCCACAATAAAAAAGGAGAATTGTACTTGTGCGATTTAATATTAAACTAATTTTACTTTTATGAAATAAGGAATTTTATGTGGCTTCTTTAATAAAGAATTCATCAAAATATATTTGATATGCCATGTTCCTAATCTTTTACTTTTTTTTTATATTTGAATAGCTTTCTATAAGTACGTTTTTCTTATTAAATACCTGTTCCATTTTTTTTTTCCAAGACTACTTTTATATTACTATTTACCAAAAACACAATGTGGACAATGTGGACTGTATATGTAATAAAAAATACAGGCTAAGAGAATAAGATATTTTAGTAAAATTCATTTAATATATATAAATTATACTGAAAAGATTGAAGTGTAGAAAAATAATGAAATGAAATTTATAGTTATCTGCATTTTACCTATATATTGTATATTGTAAAATATGTCATTACAAAGTTTGTAATTGATTCGCCAACTAGTTCATATTACTATGTCATTATTAAAAATATGTGTTAAAATATTTTTATTGTTACTTTCAATTGAAAGATAAAATCTTATTTAGATGAATCAATTACTAACTGTATAAGCGTTTTATTGACTTTATGACAGAGTTTTGTTAAGAACAATAATTGATAAAACGGCAACATTTCTTAAAAGGTTTTATTTAATATCTATGTGCTGTGTAAAATTGATGAAGTAAAAAATCAATAGTTTTGTTAGACTTTAAATTTCTTAAACTTATTAACTTTTAGGACACTTATTGATATTTAAAATTAATGTCATCAAAGAATATAAATATATTAATTACAAAAAAACCTGCTTTATTAAAAAAGTTTAATTATAATAAAAAAAATTCATTTATAACGAAATTTGTAACATTCCCTTAAGTGATTTACGATTAAATGTATATTTACTTTTAATACTTTTATTTTATTATTTTTCTGAGTATGTGTTTCACATACATTGTAAACAACTATAGATACATCTATGTACAATTAAATTAAAATCTTTCTTTTCAATAGTACTCAAAGTTCATCCCTTTTTATCTTTTTACCTATACACTTGCAATTATTTTTTGGTTGGGGTATGTATTCCATTTCAGGAAACACTTGAATAGAGTTGGTTAAGCGCTTACTCCATTCCTGTGAAAATTATTGATTTTACAACGTATATTTCAAAATATTTATACATAAATATAAAATGTATTCTTACTTTAATCAGGGTGATATAATAACAAAATATATGTTGCGGCATTAAATTATTTCTTGTATACTCTCTAGCTTCTCTACTAATGTTATAAGCTTTGTCATCATTTTTAATAGCCCAATTTATCTTTTCTACTAAATCTGACAAATCATTTTTTATAGAAACAAAATGTATACCCTCTGTAAGACTTTTGTAAAAAAATTCATAATATTTTGATTTTTGTTTAAAAACTAAAGAATTTCCAGCGAGTAAATATGGAAATCTATAAGCAGCCACTGTTCCATCAATATTCAATTGATATTTATACTAAGATATCATTTTTTATTAATAACAAAAAATATTTGCACGAAAAAATTAACATATTCAATAGAATATTTAAAATTTTACATACCTTAAAAAAATCAAAAAATGATACATGTTTTTGTTCAGGGCCATATTTTTTTATTTCATCGGTAAAGAAAAAAAAATTTGTAATCGATGCATTGAAAAGATGAGGGTTTGATCTTCCTATGTCAATTAAATCTAGGCGTTCTCTTCGAGAATCTCTTCCTCTCCAAAAAACTTTATTTATTTTTTCATTCCAGCTTAACTTTGTATTACCTTGGACCGATAACATATCTAACATTACACTATAGTGAAAATACGATTAATATAATATATATATGTAATGAGAAATTGATAAATGTTTATTTCAACCTATCCATTGCTTTTATGGAAGATTCAGTTATATCGTATGTGGGTAGAACAACATCTCTAGTATCTTCGGAACCACACCATGAAAAAATGGGATAAATCAATTTATCTTTAGGCACTAAAGGCCAATCTCCTAAATTCATAAAAAATTCGACATCTGGTAGAGTTGTTTTTCTTGTTATAGATAATAAAATTTCATCGCTAAATATTTTAAAACCAACATGTTGTCCGTAACATTGCCTATAAATCTAGAAATATTATTGTTTTATATAATTCCTATAAATATACCTCTAATACAATTATAAATTTAATTGAAGAATCTAACATACTTTATTTGATTTAATTACATAATGGCAAATGCTAATGCGATTTGGTTGATTATATCTTGCGATTATTTTGTTTCTTAAACTATCGAAGTCTACATTGGGAAATAATTCAAGATCGCTTAGAATTTGTGTGTAATTCTGAACACAATCATTACTCTCTAGCCATGAGTGAATAGATGGATTTGGACAATAACATTCCTCTTCGTACACCGGGCCTTAATTTAATAATAAATCCATGATTCTTAAATTATTTGAAAGATATACTCAATATATATGAATTAAAATTTATACCTTTAAATTTGGATTGCTTTAAATATAATATTTTATTTTGTATTTTAACTATAATTTGAAGATTAAAACAAACGTTATAGATCCTGTATCGAACAATGTAACTGCCATCTTTGCAATCTAAAAGTTGATACCAAATATGACAAGGGGCATTATCCTCTGTTTTTCCTATTATTTTTGATGAGATTACATTTGGTCCTACTGACTCTGTTAAACTGTAATAAAATTAAAAACATTTATTAATATTATAACAAAAATTTATACTTAAATATAAAATACAAACTTTTCCCCGCCTTTAGTTACGAGCTGTATAAAAAAATATCTTGCTTTTAATGTAATATTTTCTGGATTAAGTCCTGGACCCCAAACAATTGTTTTTGCTACATCAATATGATCAATATTATTTATACTACCTTGAATAAAATTACTTGCACAATTATAAAATATTAAATTAAATAATAAAATAGACCACATTTTAAGAAATTGATTAAGTTTTGCTCTGTACCAAATTTATATGAAAATAATGTATTGGACTTCGATTTGACTTTGTATTTCAAATAGTATTTAATATTTATAATAGTTATTAAATTAATACACGTATTTTTATTTTCATTGTTTGGAAAAAAATGTTATAAGCATAATCAAGGCAAAATATAAGATTCATTTTAAAACGCCGTTGTGTTAAAGTCGATATAAGTAATTATCTTAAACTATTCGATAATGTATTTCTATTTTGCTATTTTTTCACTATACATTTTTCATCTAACTTCTATTTTATTCAAATTGTGAAAATGTTAATTGAAAAACGAAGAAAGATTATGCGTAAGCTAATCATTAGTTTTCTAAAGATTAGACATTTTAGTTCGCATCCAATTTTACAGCTAAAATGAATTTTGGGTATAAGTCTAACGTATACTAAATTATTCAAGCATAAAAAATTACATGCGCCCTATAAATTTATGTTGATTGGCACTCGCAAAGCATTATATAGGACTTTTAGCAATTCTATAAATTTGATTTCTGCCCGCGAAAATTTAGAATACATAAAAGTATTATTATTATATAAACAAAAATCTCTATAACTGCAGTTGATTTAAAATGTATTTTTATTTGTAATTTTATTTCTCTGTCTGCAAATTAGTTTACTACAAGACTCGTATTCTGTTATAGTAGCATAATTGAATTGTAATTAAAAACATTCAATTATTCATAATGGATAATATTCCTATTTTTTCCAACGTGGCTAAATCGACCTTCAACATTGTAATATACGGTTTCATTGATACAAAATAAAAGAATAAATTATCGATATATGAGCAGAGATAAATATAAAATTATTGGTACAATCATTTTATGTATTTGAAAAAGATAGTAAGATTTTGATTTAATGGATTAATATTTGAGAAAAAGAATTGTCGATCATAAGCATTAAATTTACGGATTACTCTAGGTCTATGCTGATAAGATTAAGCATTATCAAACGTAGTTTATAGTATTAAGTTCAATGTCAGAAATCTAAACTTTTTTTTAATAAAAAGTTACTTTAAGAAACATATATTTTCAATTATTTATTTTAATTTTACGTCTTTTTACTAGAGACAACTCATTACCATACTTTAATCCGCAATTAATGTCTTTTATCAAAAATTAGAAAATTTCTTAAATTATTTATAATCATCAACAAATAATTTTCATAACTTTCGTTTTTTTTAATAAAATTGGATTATAAAACAACTGTTTATAAAATTTTTCTTTTTCTTTTTCTTTTGTTTTTTACAATTTCCATTTTTTTATTATTATCGATCGACAATTTTTACGCAAAATGTTTAAATAAATAAAAACATTGTTCAAATATGTAATTTTATTAAAATTAATTTAACCTAGAAAGATATTACATAAATTAATGTAGGGTATATGACCGTTAAGTAAAATTTATATTAAGAATTAGTTATTTGACAATTATGTTTTTTATTTATTCATTAATTATTAATGACATTTAGGCTAAATCAATATTGTTCAATACCTATTGGTAATATTTACCAAGTATAGAAATAAAATTTTTCAATCAAGTCGAAATAATATATACGTATTCAAAAAGAAGATGAACGTTATACTTAATCGTTATATGTTCATAATGCTGTTTGGCTTGATAAAGTCTACTATGTAAAGTAAATATAAAAAATGTGTAATTAAAATACATATTTTTAAAGCGCTAATCGTTCTGTTATGCAAAAACGAAATACAAGCGTATATACTAAATTGGTATGAAAGAACAGAGAAAGAAGAGAAGGAAATTGTTATGATTTATTTTTATAATCATAGTATGACGTAATAATGTTTTGTAAATGCATTACGTAATAATAATGATATGATAATTATATGCTGAGCTCGTATTATCGAAACCACTATAATAATTTAACTTTAACAGTATTCAATATAAGTTATTAAAATACATCAATTTCATTCTATTTTATATAATTTAAAATCATGACAAGTTAATAGCAATTAAATAATGAAAGTATCTAAGTTTTTAGGAGAAAATGTATGTCAACAAATTTTGGGATAAACAATGCAATGATTGAAAAAATGGATTCATCAATATAAATGTTATTTCGAATAAATTTTAAATATTACATTTTGATCTTATTCATTTATTTAACAATATCTATGTGATAAAATGAACAATTACTTATTGAATTAATAATTATAATTTTTTCAAAAAAATATAATTTTGATAATGATATTTTTTAAATATATCTTTATACAAGATTGTTAAAGTTTTAGGAGATGAAAAAATTAGTTTTTTCATTTCAAATTGAAAAAAAGAATTTCTATTTATTATTCAGATAATTATATATATAACAATTTTGGCTGTCTAGTGGTTTTAGTTTTGCATCGCCAAAAATCACACGTAACATAATAATTGCAATTGCACTTATTTAATTAAAATTTTTTATAGATAATTAAATGATTATTTTGCATTGCGTATTTTGTATAATAGATTATATTAGGCGATATCTTAATTAGATATTGTAATAATCGTATTAACGATTAAAGTTTCAACAATCATTAAAATTAATCTTGATTTTTAATCAATGAAAGAATATTGTTTCAATATTGATATTTACCTAATTTAACGGTATATAATTCTTTTCGCATTTTGAATATTGTATTTCATTGATTATCATTCATTATTAATGTGTTAATTAATCACTTATCATTGGTAGTTATTATAAGCATTGTACTTACACGAGAAGCTTAATTGGGAATAGCGAATGGAACTAAACAAATTCAGCAGAAAAAGGTTACTTGCCAAACTACAACATATTGCTAAAACATTAATAATATTACTTATGTTATTATATTAAATATTAAATATTAAGTATGTTTTTTATTAATAAAACATTAATAATATTATTCGAAAATTTATTATATATTAATTTGACTACACACACGCACACGCACACACATGTATATAAATATATATTTTTTTAAGAGAAAATATCAGTCTTAAGTTTAATTCTCTTGCCTTAGTAAACATAAACTTATATAAATAGATAATGCGTTTTAAGAGATATCGAAGGTCTGATTTTTAGAGATAGCAGAATCAAGGTTTCTATTTTGCTTCTCATAATTGAAAAAAAGATAGATATAAAATGTGAACTATATGATAAAATTCAGAGTCGCATGAATATAAGTTTATTATATTTTATTATATTATTTTGCCCATCTATGATAATGATTGAAAAATGGTATTTTTGTTCATTGGAGCAGGGGTGATATAAAACAAGGCTTATATAATGAGAATATACATAGATGGTGTTTGAAGATAGTGAACTGTGTAATAAGAAATAATTGCAAGGTGCAATGAAAAAATTCACTTAAGTAAGACAGTATATAATTTTTTTACTGACCTCTATTAATTTTGTTTATTTTGAATCTAGCTGTATTGCCATTAAAAACAAGGCGAGATAAAGAAAATGAGATAGAGAGAGAGAGAGATAGAGAGAGAGAGAGAGAGAGAGAATGAGAGTCGAGTGGGGAGATCTTTTTTATAAAATTAATTTTCTTTAAATTTCAAGAACTTTCAAATTCATTTTAAGTTTGGCAATTTATTCATTGACATTCGAAATTTCAAAGTTGATGTTTCAGTTATTTGTTAAATTTAACAAAACTATTAAATAAAATTTCAGCCTTTTAAGATGTTTGTGTAGTATAATTATAGCATATATAATGTTAATACGTATAAAAATAACTTTGTATTGTTAAAGGAAGAGACCGAGAGAGAGAGAGAGAGAGAGAGAGAGAGAGAGAGAGAGAGAGAGCCTCGCGTCATTATTATACAAAGCATAATTTTGCAAAATTATTAATGTGTTATTATTTACAATGCCTGCAGTCAGCGCTATAGGCGATGAAAATAAGAAGCTTCGTTAAATCGGAATTTTAAATAGCGACCATCGTTAATAAATATAAGAAACAATAATAGACTTCATCATTCGTTTTATCTAATTCCCTATAATTCGTGTCCTGAAGCCTATTAACAATCCAATACGTATTAAAAGTGGCATAATGGTTTAAAATTGTGACTACGTTACTTCGCACGTATTTCTTTAGAATATATGCGTATTGACATAAACACACACCCACACTCCCGCACGCATACGCGTGTACGTGCGGGCGTGTGCGTATATCCATGTTTGTCCCTTCGTTACGATATCTATGCCTATGCTCGGCCACAGGCTTAAATTCTCCAATAAAAGCTTAGCAAGTCGGGCGAAGAGAGAAGATATCATTCTCATTTATAATGAAATTAATGATTTTCCAAGCTGCATTCAAGTCATTAATACATCGCAAGTAAGATTTTACAAAGTAACTTAAGCTTATACGGTGAGGGGGCAGAGTTCGGCAACTCTAATTATTCAGCCTCTGTCTTGATTACTCGCATTTCCGGGAAGTCGGGCCGTCATAGTAATTAGCCAAATGGCAGCCTCCGAATTCGCGTTATCGGGGTAAGTCGTTGCGAACGAACGTCGGACGGAATAAAAAGGCGAAAAGGGCGCGGTTGCGTACGTGGTGGAGCCGACGGGTGGGGGTGGCGATACAGGGGGCACGTAAGCGGCGACGGAGCCGGGAGGGCAAATTGCGCCAAAATGCGCGCAACGATAAAGGCCAGCAAGCGATTTGAAGAGAGAGCGATCGTATGACTAGCTTGGCTGAGTCGGCGCATGAGATTCTAGTCAAGCGAGCGTTTGCCGCGGGAGGGAAGTAGAAACTCGACGTTGGGAGGAGTGAAGAGGAGGCAGACCACAGACGGCACACCTGAAACGGCCGACGACAGACTGCGCGGGATAAGGAAGCAAGATAATTCGCGCCTAGAGCTAGGGAAGCGCAATTCCATTCGAGTGGAAATCAACGGCACGGCGCTTTGTTGTCGGGTGAGCGACTTTTCGGCCTATAATAATTTGTTTGCACCGTTGAAAGTGTCACGGGATCGTGGAAGGAGCGAGGCGGATCGGATCGCAGCGACTGAAGCGATTCTCTGCGTTTGCTTGGTGTTTCAGGTGACCCCGTTATCGATCACGGCTCGTATTTCGGATAAAGAGTAAGAGAGAATATGAGATGTTCCGCAAAGATCAGGGCGATCATTTAGACGCCACAGCCGAGTTTTAAGGGTCGTGCACGATCTCGCATACGCGAGACACGCACGCATCGTCCAATGTCCTCGTCGTCGTCTGGAAGCTCTTCATCTCTACGTCCTGTGACGACGACGCGTCTTTAGGAAAACCGAACTCCATTTTACAATTTTTACCTCTGTGAACATTTGTTTTTCCGTAATATGGATATTGTTGTTGAAAAGATAATGTGAGTGGATTGTAGTTTTATCGAGGGCATAATCCTCGTGTTTCGTATCGTTCCTTTTTCTTTTATTCTTTTCAATTCTCATGAAACATGCATTAGATTTTAACACGTTTACCTATACGACTCGTAACTGGGTGTTGTCCAGTCTTAAAGAAAGAAAAGAAAGGGAATAAATACAATCTTTCGGTTTTAATCATTCGCGGATGGAGCTTTATTGTCAATAAGAAAGAGCGAGAACGAGAGAGAAAGAGAAATAGAAATAGCGAGTGAGTGTGAGTGCGTGCTTGTGCGTGCGTGCGAGGCGAGGCGAGTTAGCTTGCGAAAGCGATTCCGAATGAAAATGGTTATGTTTATGTACATTCGATATTGATATTGGTAATAGGTATAAAGAGAGCCAGTGATATTCGACAAATAGATAAAATGATAAAACGATAAAATTGGTAGCTGATTGGGTGGTGGTTGAGGAAGATAATGATGAGGCGGTGGTGGAGGGGATGGTGAGGGTGGTGGGGTGGTGGCGGAGGTGGTGTCGACGACGGTGGAGAAGGAGGCATAGGCATATAGGCATGGTAAGGCGAACATTTGGATAGCAATGAGGAATGGGAGGAAGCTAACAAGTGCAATGTCGGGGAAGGGGTTGGTTAGCCACTTAAAGGCAAGTAGAATGGTTCATAGAGAAAAAGGATCGGACGAACGAAGTTTGCAAGTGTGTAAAAAAAGAAAGAAAAAAAGCAGTGTGGCGTAGAGCGAGTATGGAGGAGCAAAGAGAGAATTTCTCATTGATGGCGTCGAGGGCGGGGCGGGAACACGAGGGAGAGCTGGCCTTTCTAAAAATAGAGGCTCTCGTCCACGTCGCGGCGGTCAACTGGTCGGTGGTGGGGGGTGGGTCGTCGGGACTGTCGCGATCGGCGATTGGTCGGCTGGCCGAGGACGCGCAGCTACGTGCCTGCGCAGCGAAGTTGTGCGCAGGTCGAGGGGAGAGTTCGTGAGCGGAAAGCGGAAAACGTGCGGAGGAGCCAGTCGGCCGTCTCGAGCGAGAGTCTACGTTGGCCACAGGAGCTCGCGCGCTTAGCGCCTCGCACGCCTTTGTTCACTCGATTCTCCATTACGCCACGCCAGCGGCGCACCGCACTTCGCTCACTTTTATTTCTCTCTCTCTCTCTTTATCTCAATATATATATTCGTCTACTTACCCACGTACCTACCTACCTACCTACCTACTTACCAATCCGTACCAATCTACTTTACGCTCTCATAATATTTAACATTGTTACTATTATAATCCAAGTCTTTAAAGCGCCGCAAGTATTGGCCCGGTCGCCTAGTACTTCTAGATCGACATTTAGGCTTTTTCATTTTTCTTACTTAACAAAGTACGTTATTGGTTATAATCCTTATTCACATTATCATTTTTGGGGCCGAGTTGCGACTGGCTCTCGCCGTCTTTCCGTATGGATCGATAACGAGGCGCTTTAGAGATATATTCCTTTTTCGTTTCTCTTAATAATCCCATTTCTCGGGGACATCGAGTTTATTTTAGTAAGAAATAAGCAAAAGAGAGGGGCAAAAAAGGAAACAATTTAGATAATCCGTCAAGTTTGATAACACCCGAAAGATTGTATTGAGTACGACGCAAATATTCGAGGATCATGCGATCGTTCTGTTGGGAGAAAATGGCGACTGTTGCCACGCAATTGATTATATTACGTAAATGTGGAACGTCTTTTTTCGTGTCTCGTTGCAGATCCCATCGTTCGTTGATCGCCGAAATGTCTTGAATTTGCAAGAAGAAAATTAACTGACGAGAGAAAATGGTGAGTTTATTATTTGTAATGTGTAATTTATTTTTCTATTGCGTATATACGTCCATATCTGTATAGCGCGCCGTTTTCCCCTTGGTCCCGTTTATTATCGGTCCGAGTTAAAGAATTATTTTGCCGAAGAGGGCGCGCCGCTCCGTCGTTCCGACATTCCCGATCTTTATCTCCCTCTTTCTTTCTCTGGCCCCCTCTCTCTGTTTGTCTGTCTCTCTCTCTCTCGCGCGCGCCTCATCCTCTCCCGTACTCCGATCCAACGCGATTCTCCGTTAGAGGGAGAAGAGAAGACTCGGAAGCAGTTCGCCTTGTGGGAGAAAGAGATCAATAACCTTCATTGACTGACCTTTTGCTCCATTTCGTTTCATTGCTGTTTGATATAGTATCATCTTATTGCTCTAACATTAGAATAAATATGCAATACCTTTCATTTTATTAAACAAACGCATCATTTTCATACCTTTGGTTAAAAAAAAAATTCATGATCTGGAGGCAGAGTAAATTATTTTTTTATACAGAAGTGATACATTTATTTATACTTGATATAACTACAAATGAAGGTACAAATACAAAATATACTTTTCTTGTTCAATTCTTATGTATACAAATTAAAAATAAAATGATTATTTTGCATTATTAGATTAATTATAAGCAATAAAATAAACTTGACATTGTATCTTCCTCACCCCTCTTCAGCAAATTTTCTTGAAGGATTTAATTATGATTTAAATATATCTTTAATTTATATATAAATTTGATGATTAAGTAGTTAGTATTCATAATTAAATAATAAAGTATGCTGGAAGTTTGGATGTAGTAATAATAATTATGAGATTCAATTTTTCAACCAGATTTTATGTTATACATATTGATCCAATATTTAGAATACAATAAGGGGAGGGAAAAATCAAATTCTTTATGTTACTTCCTGCATTACCGACATTCTACAGTTAGTTGATACCACTAAATTTTTTTTTTGCATTACGAGTATGTTCATTCAGAAATAATTAATTTAAATGTAAATGTATCTACTATTTATGTTATTAGATTGTTATATTAGTATACATAAAATTGTGTCAATAGTATAGAACAAAATAATTATTGAAAGAACTTATTTCAAATATATATATGCAGAGTAATGAGCAATTATGTAAACAAATAAACAAGCATTGTGTATGGTGTTGATAAGGTAGGAAACATTGATATTTTAATATAATTAAATAAAAAAAAAAGCTTAAGCACAGCTTAGAAAAAGTTAATAATTATAATTTTTAATAAAAAAGAAAATATTTTAATAAATTATTTATAATTCTAATGGTTCAATTTTTTCTATAAAAAGATGTTAAGAATTTAAACAATTAAATATATTAATTTTATAAAAATGAATATTGTAAAATAATAATTGGGGTAATAGGCAATTATAATATAAAAATTAAATATTTAAAATTATTTAAAGCATTGAAAAAGACGTTGAATATCAGATCTTCTTATATGAATTTGAAAAAAAATAGTTTGCATTATTAAATAATATAATTTATTAATTATACATACATAATTTTAATTGCACATTTATAATTTATTTTACATTTATTAGTTCTTTAGTAAATTAACACATTGACTTATTAAATAACATCACACATGTATGAACAGAGTTTGGATTGATATTGCAGATTTAGTTTTTGTATTCGTTAGTATAATAATAATTTAGTATGAACATCAGCTTGCAATTTTTATACAAAAGATCAAAAAAATATTTTTTATATAATTTAATTTAATTATTATTAATAATTATTACATATAAAAAATAACATTTTCAAAGGATGGTTGAGAAATAGATAAATATTAATACAATATGATTTTACTATATATGTGCTACAATGTTTATAATAAAATTAGGTTTAAATTTTCTTACATAAATGAAATCAAATATAATTAATTGCTGATGATAGTAAATAAAGTCTTTTCTAAATATTTATATTTCACTTTGTGAAGTTTGTACATTAGCTTAATATAAATAGCATATAAAAGTCTGGTTGGATTATCATGTACAATCAATATTTAATGTTATTTGTAGCATTATAAATAATATTATTTTTGACATATAATTATATGATTTTTTAGTTAAACTTGTACTTGAATATTTTTCAATTCAAATTTTTTTTTATTTTAAAATTTTCTTACTATACTTTTTATAAAGTATGCTGTTTATATGATAAATAATATTATTTATATTCTGTATTTCTATAATTTTTCATTAGATCATAAAATAACATTGTTATTTAGAAAGAATTGCGTGTTATAAGATAAATAATAAAATTTGAATAATTTTTATTAATAAACTATTTTACAAATATATATTCAGTACGAATAATTTCAAATTTATATACTACTCTTATTTATCACAAGAAAAAATTAAATATTAATAGTAAATTGTGTCAAAATCATAATTTGTTTTATTCATTCCTAAAATTAATTAAACAAAATAAATTAATTTACATGTTCATGTATAGCTACATATGTTTAATATTATTGTTATAAGTATTTTCAAATTTGTATAAATTACGTAGAAATATATTTTATAAATTATATAATTATATATTTTTATAAAAAAGGTAGTTGCTGAATCCTTTATATATTCTATTTTCATTAATAAAATTTATTTTCAAATTAGTTGAAAGTTTAATAAATTAATTGCTAGCAAATAATTATATCCAAACTTATAACAAACTTTGTACAATAAATTTTTAATTTCATCAATTCTAATTAATAAAATATTAATATTATTATTAATATTTTGGTTATATCTCATTTATTGCATATAAGAGTAAATTACTATTCAAATACGTTTATAATATTTTTACCATAAATTTTTAAGCAATTTAATTTTTGGTTATATTTCTTTGATAACATTTAAATTATTCAAAAAAAAATTTGTGTCATTTTATTTACAGCCACGTATAGATCCATTGTCATTACTTAGGTGTCTAAGTGTTTTACTAGGCCCAAATGGTGGTATTAAGAGTAAAGATGAAGTTATTCGTTTAGCGAATCTTATGACAAAGTTTTCTAAAAAACTTGTTTCAAAATGCATTTATATTCAGATTTTGAAAAGCACAAATCCA